TGTAAATGTTTATGAAAATTAATAAAATATAATTATAGAAAAAAAAAGAAAAAACAAATGTTGGTCCAATCAGTGGTTTTTAACATTTTTTTTCTAACTGGAACCTTCTCTTCACACAAAATCTAAAGCAGAATCTCATTATATAAACCAGATGAATGCTGTTTCATTAGTAGAAATAGAATTAATACATTCACATTTACTTATTATAAAGACATTAAGGAGAAGCACCAGGGCCCTCTGCCCAAAGCAGCTGTGTGGAGGCAGCCTCTGGGCTGTCCATGGTGTCAGCCCAGCCTCACCATCTCACTGAACTCTGTACTTGTTCAAGTTGCACAAGTCCTCAATTCTAATTTGCACAATGGAGTCCCTGCCAATGGACCAGTGTTGAGCAGTGGGCTTCATAATCCTCGCAGACTCAGCAGCAAGTTGGACGAGGCAGGAGACAGCCAGGGCAAGCTCTGTCCACGGAGTGAAGCTGGCCGTACAGGACTCCGGCGTGGCCTTGGGGCTGCAGGGCTGAGGAAGCAGCACACCCGAGAGTTCCATTTGCATTCCAAGTTTTAAAACAGAGAAAAGCATATTTATAAATGCACTTAGAACGTGCATGTGCAGAAATCCTGAAAACTACCCCTGGACTTCTAGGCTTTCTCGTATCATAGCCAGCCACTGGCCTGATGAACCGCAAAGGCTCTGTCAGGCTATTCAATTCCATTCCTCGATAAGATAAAGATTCACCCTCCACGTCAGTGACCTGGGCCCAGTTCTCAATGGACCACACACATGGCCACCACCCCTCACCAGGGGGGCTTGGGTGTTGCTCTGAAGCTAAAGAGGTTTCAGCAGAGCTTCCACCATAAGACGGACTAAGTAGAAGGACCTGGTGATCTTCAGAAAATGAGCCGATTAAAAACAGGCTGCTCACTGAGGTCCTACATACTTCCACCATGGAGCCGGCACAGGACCAGCTAACATTAGGTTCCTCCGTGCACGGGATGCATGCGGCTGCCACAAGTCCAGGCTCACTAGTCAGCAGCAGCCAACAAGAATCCATCTGCTCGATAAAGTTTGTCTCTGTTGGCTGTTGCATTTGTTACACTTGCTCCACGTTAGGCTACAAATACAAAGACACTTTGGTCATAATGTTGTCACCGATAGGTGCTGTCCAGCCAACTTCTTTTCACAATGACTGTGCAGTAGATGGAAACCCTCCCCACCTGTGTGCTGAGGCCCACTGCTGAGGCCACTGTGCTGACCTGTCTCACTGTGGGTTTTACTTTCCTTCAATGACCCTCTTCTTCTCCTTGCCCGGGTGGTGGTGGGGTGGCTACCTCCTGCTGACAACACGCAAAGTGTAAGAGGAAGTCTCATCACCAGTGCCTCCAGGGAGCACTCTGGTTACCTTCTTCCAAGATGGATTTGTTTGTCCTTCTGGCAGACCGTGGAATAATCAATTCTTAGAATCAACATCAGAACTCGAGAGCATCAATTCTTCTTCTTCGGCTTTCCTTAGTCCTCGTCCAACTTGCATGTGCACATGAAGCAAACTGAGAAGATGATGACTTGGATCGGGCACATCTTCGGTTTCTAAGTTGACGTTCTTGTTCTTTAGCTCTTTTAAAGAGGCTCCTGGCAGCAGATCCGCCCAGTGCCCCATGCCATTTGATTTCTAACTCCTGTCGCCATGGGTGTTGATCGCATATCCAAGGAAAACGAAATCCCTGACAATGTCAATCTTTTCTCCATTTCTTACACTGCCTACTGGTCCAGTGGTGCAAACTTTTGTTTCATGTTGAGGTGACATAATAGAAGTCACTGATGAATGGAAATACGGTGACATTTCCATTTCTCTTCCCTGTCAGAGTAGAAGAACTAGTGACTGCCCGTTTACTATTCTAAAAGCATCAACTTTTATTTACCTAAGGGAAAGCATCTGAAGAATCCTAATTTAAGAGCAAAGAGTTTTCTGTAATTGGTTTCCTTTTCTCATGGTGTTTGATGAAGACCCACTTGTGGCAAACGAGGAGGATGGAAAAGCCTCAGTGTCGTCCACCGAGAAGTCCTCAGGGATTTCTTCCCAAGCAGACTGACAGGGCGTTTTTCCACCCATAAGCACGCAGCAGGGATGAACTGCAGGCAGATGTTCTCCTAGTTTTTATTTTCATTTGGGTTTCAGTGTTAAGGAGCGCCTACTGGATTTTTCCACAGTCCACCCACTAATTAGAGGCATCGGAAGATAATGACTATGGTTGCTCTGCTTATTCTGAAGCCCAATGTGGGATGTGGAGGTGGGAGTCTTCTCTCTATGCTCGAGAAGGCCCCTGCTCCGGGGTTTGACTAGCCTCAACTTTGAAGAGACTGAAGATTCCTACCACTCAAAACAGAGGAAAGCATATTTTCATTTATTTGTAGCTTTGCAACCAGGCAATGGAATCATTTATTAAGTCGGAACAGAGACAATGGAATGAATCTACACTTTTTTAGTCGATTGCCTCTCTTGGTTACCCAGTGCCGCTCTAACAGAATGACCACAAGCAGATGGTTTTACCAAATAGAGACGCACAGTTTAGGAGCCCAGATTCAGGGCCAGGTCTAAGGGAAGGCTGCTTTCTCTGTCCATTCTGGAAGAAGGGCCTTATTTCTTTCAGCATCCACAGACATGGCATTTCATCCCTTGGAGATCTCCCTGTGTTCTGGCCCTCCCCAGGGTCAAGGGACTCCCTCCCACAGGGACCCGAGTCCAGAAGGATGCCCACCACTCCGAGCATATCTTATGTGGGGGCACTGAGGTCACCCATCTGTGTTCAACTCCAGGCCATACCCAAGGAAACTCCCCTTCCTAAGATCACCGCTGTGATGGTTTAAACTCTTAGTCCTTCTGCATCTATTTACTTTGTCAAACTATGGGGAAATTGCTACACAGCTTCCATGTTATAGACATGTATTTTTTGGGGAATACAATTCAATGGAGAACAATGGATACCTTGACCAATGGACTAGAGAGTTGGGCTGGTGTCACTTACGACCCTCAGCTGCTCAGGAAGCCCTATGGGGGGCTTCACAACCTCCCTGTCCACCGGAAGAGAACACTTACTGTCACATTTCATCCCTTGGTGGATGAGTCCATACAGCAAGGACCCGCAGTGATCGCAGAACGTCGGGCTTCCATACGTGTGGATTTTGAACTTGTGCTTGCTCCTCGGGTCCTGGGGGGAGAAGAAGCATGTCTGTCATTCATCCTAGCCATGAAAGGACCTTGCTTTTCAATTAAGCTAAGCTCTGGCCTCACAAGTCACCATGGACCTTTCAAGGTTTGGCAGTAGCAGGGCCAGGCATCCTCTCTGAGTCCCTCAGCGGGTGACGGAGAATTTCTGCCACCAAGCATTTGATGAGCTTGGCCAAACTGGAGTGTGTAATGAATGCCTACATTTCCTCTTCTTTCCAGTATAAGGTGTACATACCTGGCTTTCTGCCACATGCAACAACACCCTTGATGCCAAGCACAATGCCTTAGACATCTCAGTGTCTGTACCCCGACACCCCAATGCAGGCACAGCCCACCCAAACAGAGCAACCACAAAATATGAGGGTGTATTTGCTGAGTCTGCCTGATGGACCTCCCATTGGTGGTGGGCCTGAAGTCACTCAGAACTCCAGGATAAATGTGATACGACTTCCTGGAGCTTCACTGTACCCATGGAAGGGGTCTTTAAACATAAGGCTTCTTTGAAAGAAAAACAATGAGCACTATAAACGAGAATTTTTATTTGTGCTTTTAAAACAAAGGTGGCCATTTTGAAGATGTTCAGAGGTCCTCAGGGTTGCCCTGCATCCTGTCCAGACTCAATGACTTTGCTGTTCTTACAAAACCCACTGCCCCTGAGTCACCTTCAACTCGTAGTGCCCCTCTGCTGAGTCTCCGAGATGGCCTCATATTTCTCTTGCAAAGTGGCAGCACTGGGCTGCGAATCATCAACCTTAAGGGTGGCAGCCCAATAGATAGTGCATAAAGCCACCAGTTCTCCTGGGACGTCGGTGAGTGTGGTTGGGGAAAGCTTTAAAGTCCAAAGACTTTAGAATCCTTCAAATGGCTACCACGTGCAGAAGGATGAATCCTTTCGAGAGCTCTGTGTGCGGTAAACATCTTCTTTAAGTAAAATTAAAATAGGCCTTGGATCCAGACAAAACGATCCAAAAAGGGAAACGATTTGTGCCGCCAGCTACCAGAGACCAGCACCCTCTGTGTCTTGATTTTGAACATGACTTTCTGTGTGGTGATTGATGTTAAAGCAGGTGGACACTGGTGTCTCAGCAACGAGCCACACACACTCACATCTGGCGTGTGTGCAGGAGGAGACCCTCTCCTGTTCCACAACATGACTGCACACCCTGCGTGCCAGGCCTGGGACGAGAGCCTGAAGTTCATTCACTCACTAGGCCTCTCCAGCAGCTCCGTCTAGTCTGTAGGGTGGAGCTGCATTCTGTTGCCTTAATTCAGCTGCTGCCGGGTGCCATCGAGTCAGGACTGACTCGTAACGACTTTCTGGGACAGCAGAATTATCCCGCATGGTTTTCTAGGCTATTTGCTTCTAAGAGCAGATTACCAAGTGTTTGCTCTCGAGGGGTAGATAGCTGACGGGTTTGAAATATCAACCTTTTGGTCCACAGCTAAAGGCCTAATCTTGCGCCACCTGAGCTCCTGACTTCAGCTTGTGTTCTTAATTGTTGTTATGTGTCATCAAGTCACTTGCTACTCATAGCGACCCTATGGAAAGCGGCTCTGAACCCTGCTCTATCTTGAGCCAATGTCATTGTCTCCAACACTCTTACCCCCATTACCCCAGTCACTGAGTCAATGAATCTCATCCAGGGTCTTCCTCTCCTGTGCTGTCCCTCCACCCTCCCAAGCATGATGTCTCTCTCCAAGGACTGCTTCCTTCTTGCAACATACCCAAGTATGTCAGATGAAGCTTCAGGATCCTTGTCTCTAAGGAGTAGCCTGGTTGGTTAATCAACAGAACCAACCCAGGAATCCTTTCTACTCTCCACCTCTTCCCCTTATTCAAAACTGACCTCATTCTCCAGGACCCAGACTGTACAGAGACACAAAGAAGGCTGTCCTTGCTATTCACCTCCTAAGGGCCTAACAGACGTGGTTCAAATCCCCAGCTGCTCCATGGGAGAAGGATGGGCAATCTCCTCCTGTGTGATTAACTGCCTCTGAAGACCCACTGGAGGGGCAGCTGTGAGGCAGTTCTGACTTGACAGAACACAACAACAACAAGGACCTCAGGCTTAGTGATTTAAGAGAGTGTCAATGCTAACTTTGACTCATATGATAATTCACATTGGTTGTTAAAAAATATTTCAATTGTGATTTTAATAAAAGTTGAAAGAAAAGTTGGAACTTTCATTCATGTTTTGAGTGATTTATACACTGACAACTTTTGGAATGTCTCTAGCATGCAGAAAAGCATAAATAACATCAAATGCCAGTTTTGAGAAATGTTAGCATTTCCCTCTCTTTCGCTGTATAATTACTAACCTGTTTTAACAGCAATGTTAATGATCTTTCCAAAGTCAACTAAAAAGTGAATTAAGAAATCTAGCTAGAACTCGACCACTGTCTTTCTATAACAGTGATTCCACTACACATTCCAGAGACATACCCAGAATAAGGACTGGTTCTCTTAACACATTATTTTTCTTTCTTGTGATTTAAAAAAAAAAGGCCATCCCTGTCTGTTTTGTAGATAAAGTTTTATTGGTACATGGCTATGCTCACTGATTTACACACCATCTATGGCTGCTCCTGTGAACGATTGCAGACCTGAGTTGTTGTGTCAGAGACTGTGTGGTATATACAGCCCAGTATATGCTATTATCTGGTCCTCTACAAAGAGCATTTCTCTGTCCCTGCAATACGGTGATCAGGAGCTGTTGAGTCAACTTCCATTCCCAGTGACCCCAAAGGGCAGAGCAGAACTGCCGAAAAGGGTCTGCAATCGTCATGGAAACAGGTCTTCTAGGTCTTTCTCTCATGGGAGATCTCAGAACCACCAAATATTTGGTTGACAACTAAATGCTTAACTATTTGCACCACACGGGCTCCTAAGCCCTGCCTTCTTGCACTGCCATTGAGCTCATCCCAACTGCGACCTTATTGGACAAAACAGAGGTGCCTCATCATGTTTTTTGAGGCTGTAAATCTTAAAGGGAGCAGGTGGCCTCTCCTTTCACCTCAGTCTCTGTAGCATTTTTCAAAGTATGATCTCTACAGCGCATCAACATCACCCAGCACTTGGTAGAAAGAATATAACTTATTTATTTGGCCCCTTCCTAAACGAAGTGAATCAGAAACTCTAGCAGTGGGATCCAATGAGCTGCATCTGCACAAGCCCTGTAGGTGACCCTGGGGACAGAAGGTGAACAGAAGACAGGCCCACTGCTTTGGAAGGTCACTCAACAAATATCCAGTAAACACCTAATGTGTGCTTAAGAGCAAGCGGATGTAGATGACTGACACACTCTGGAGGCAGGTCATGAGTTTATCTACTCAAAGTCTCTCATGAAGCTAAAGTTAATACGGTCTGAGAGGTGGCCTTATACTCCCCTCACTAAAGAAGCCCATCAAGTTTCCAACTATGCCAGGACATCAGAGAGAGAGAAGGCTGAGCAATCGGGCCAATGACAGGATCAACAAAAAGCTCCCTGTTTGGCAGTAAAGATTGTGTCCTACAGCGTGGAGGACACAGTGGACGCCGGAGGAGAGGGCACAACCCATCTCCCCTGCGGAAAGGAGGCACCGACAGCTAACACTCAATAAATCAAGTATGGCAGCTCCCGCGGAGTTCTGGGGAGGATGCCACGTGCCAGGAGGCCCCAGGCGGCTGTCTTGCTGGTCAGCTGTCAGAGAGATCTCAGCTGACATGGCTCCCGGACAACGTGTGTGTCACTTTTCAGGAAAACATAAGCCTTATTCATCCAGTTCCTCAGCTGGGATCTTCAGGCTCGGAAGGTGTAGGAAGAGCAGAAACCATCGCTTCTCCCACCTGCAAATGCCTGGAGCCCGGCCAAGTCTTGGAATCCCTGACAGCCCAGAGTGACATGAGTAGCCACTAACCTCGCCTATGAGTAACAAGGCCGGCAACAGCAGCAGAGCCCTCCTGGGGATCAACAAGTGCAAGCAGACGCTTCACAAAACCCGCATCTCGTTTGAGAGACTCGGGAACAGCAGTCACCAGGATTGCACAGATCTTCACATGGACCCAGCTTTGCCTCTTAGAAACCATGTGGCCTTGAGAAAGTCATGCCTCTTATTCATAAGGAGCTGTGCTGGTAACCCAAAGGCACGTGGTTTGAATCTACCAGTAACTCAGCAGGAGAAAGATGGGCAATCAATTCCTGTGCCATTTACTGCCTCTGAAAACCTAGTGGACGGTCAGCTGTGGGTCAGTTCTGACTTGATGTCATATAACAACAACAATGCCAGCTCTGCCTATGCCATAGGCAGGGTCACACACCAGCTTACAGTAGGCAAAGTTCGGATGGGTTTATACCTTGGTACACGT